CAGGGCTCTGCAGCCTCTTCTGCAACGGGGCCGGCGAGCTGAAGGGCCAGGGCGCGCTGGTCACCCACCCCCGGCTGGCGGCCCTGCTCCGGGCGGTGGCATCGGGGGGACGACGCCCTGCCCCGGGCCCTGGCCCCGGACCTGCCCCCCGGCCGAGCGGGAGCCCTTCCTGCAGGCCATGGGGGACTTGGGCCTGGAGCTGCAGAGCCCCCTTGCCATGCGGCTGGGCAACACCTGGCTCCACGGAGCCCCGGCCCCCACCGCCGGCAGCCTGCTGGCCAGCGTCCTCGAGGAGGTGCGGGCAGCCAGGCCCGGGGACGCGCCTGATCCCTGCCTGAGGGCCCTGAGCGCGGCCCGGCGCGGCTTTTCCCGGGGGCTTGCGGGGGCGGGCCCCTCACCCCGGCCCCCTCGCCCTGGCAGGGGCCCCTCGCCCGTGGGCAGCCACCTGGCAGTGGCAGACAGCCAAGGGAACGTCCTGCTGCTCTCGGCCTCTCTCAACAGCTCCTTCGGCTCCAAATTCCTGGCGCCCGCCTCGGGCATCGTGCTGAGTGACCTGACAGCGCCCGCGGGGCCCGGCCTGCTCTCCTGGGCCTGCCCCGTGGTACTGAGCCTGGGGGAAGAGGGGACAGTGGTGGGGCTGGGGGCCACAGGGGGCAGTGCGGCCCCACTGGCCCTTGCCCAGGCCATTATAAACCAGGTGTACCTGGGGCAGCCCCTGCAGGAGGCGCTGGAGAGCCCGTGGCTGCAGCTCCGGGGCGGGGGGGATGGGGCCTCCCAGGGCTGTGGGCCGGGCACCCCGTCAAATCGGTCCAGTGGTGAGTGGGCTGGGGGGGGCCCGCAGGCGGGCCCCTGGGTGCTGCAGGTGGCATCACAGGGTGAGCACGCACGTGCCCTCGCCGCCCCGGCCGCGTGCTGCCATCACGAGGGGTATTAGCCCCAGGGGCCCGGCTCAGAGCCCAGGGTGCTGGCGTGGGCAGGGCTGGCGTGCCCGGTGAGCCGGCCCTGACCACTTAGTGCCGACGCAGGGTGAGTGGCTGGTTCCGGCAGCCCCGGTTGGACTCCCCCGCCCAGGGGCCGGTGCTGACCCCACTCCTGGCTGGCCCCCTTCCCCTCCTTGCCGGCATGGCAGGGCTATGTAGGGCCCCCCCGTCACGGAGGGGTCGGGCTACTGCCCTGTCCCTCAGGCCAGCCCAGGTTCCCTGGGGCTTGGGGCACGCCAGGGGCTGGTTCCTCCCTGCTCTCCACTGCGGGGCCCCGCTGCCGCCTGGCACCGCTCTGGAGGTTTCCGAAGGGCTGGGCGGGGGGCGGCAGGGCTCTGGGCTGGAGAGCTGGGCTGCACTGGGGGAGAAGTGGCAGGAGCTCCCCCTCCCCCCGGTCCTGGAGAGGTGGGTTGGCTGCCGGGCACAGGCTTGGAGCGGGGGGCTTGTGGGCTCTCTGTTGTGTGTGTCTGTAAAGGGAGAAATAAACCCTCTGGGTGCCGTGCGGCCTGGTTTGTCACTCGTGGCGCGTCGGCCCTGGGCCACTGGCCCCAGCCCAGGGGCCTGGTGATCCAGCCAGGGAGGGGGGCAGGAGCCCCTGGGGTGAGTCCCCCACCCGACCAGGAGCTCTTGGGCAGGTTGGAAAGGAGGCTCCTAGCCTGGGAGAGCCTGGGCCGTCTCAGGGGTCCTTGGCCGGGGGGTTAATGTGAGGACACAAGGGAAGGGGCCCGCCCCGGTTGCCTGGCCACCCGCCCCCAAGCTGCTGTAACCCAAACCCCTCCCTGGCTGGGGCGGTGCCCGCTGCTCTGGGATTTAGACATGCCCAGTGGGTACGGGGAGTGGGGCAGGGAGCCCGGACTCCTGGGTTCCATTCCCACCAACTCTCTCTGAGACCTTTGGCAGGGTCCTTCCCTCTGCCTCAGTCTCCCCCACATGATGTTGCCAAGGGGGCGCTGGGGGACAGGGCTGCACTAGGCTCTTGGGCCAGGCCCTGCTGCACCGTGGGGGTCAGTGCTGACGGGGCGGCTGCCCCCAGCTGCTCCTTGGCACCTCCTGCCCTGGCGCGTGGCCATCCCCATGAGCCCAGGGGGTCTGGGTGGGACGCAGGGTCTGGGCGGGAGGGCTGGGAACAGGTTGCTAGGGAAGGGGGGTTACCATGGCTGTGACTGAGGCCATGGGCCCCTCCCACCAGTCTCTGGGCCCGCGGAGGGCGGGTGGCAGCGAGCCAGTTAGCCGTGGCTGAGTGTGGAAACCCTTGTGCTACCAGGGCACAAGCCTGGGGGGCAGCACGGTGAGGGTGGGGGCACTGGGAGCTAAGAGCATGCAGTGGTGTGGAGACAGGCCTGTGCCCAGTGCTAGGGCTCCCGGGCCCCCCTCAGGCCCTGCGGCCGAGAGCCACAGACGTACACAGGGCCTGGGTCCGCAGAACTCCCGCCCCACACACCCAGTGCCAATGGCTTCAGGGTAAACGTGTCTGGGTGCCCGGTCCTGCCTTGGCATCAGGGCACCTCACGCCCACCTGTGCCCCAGAGCATGCCCCGAAGCAGGGGGAGATGGTGTTTGGCCCCTGACGCGTGTGCAGGGCCCAGTAGCTGCCTGCCCCAGAGCAAGTGTCGCTCTAGCCAGAGTGGGAGGCACTGGGGTGGTGCTAGCCCAGGGGTAGAGCGTGGGGCGGGGAGCCCCAGGTTCAACCCCCCCCGCCTCTGTGGGGGTCATTGGGTCAGCAAGCGAGAGTGGCTCCAGTTTTTTGGGCTGGCTCGGGGTAGTGGGGCTGAGCCCCCGTCTGGGCGGCATCTCCCTTGGACTGGCTTCGTGGAGCACGTTCGTAGGCACCCGTCTCTGCCCCGTCGTACGGGGGCCCAGATGCCCAGCACAGCTCTGTGTGCATCACAGCCTGGGCCTGTGATGGTCCAGGTGTCGGGCCACTCAGGCTCACACCTACGGCCTTCACAGCGTCCACCCTGAGTTTGTGACCTTGGGCAAGGCATCAACCTTGTGATTGCAGAGCCATTGGCCATTATCTTTGAAAACTCATGGCGATCCGGGGAAGACCCGGACGACTGGAAAAAGGCAAATGCAGTGCCCATCTTTAAAAAAGGGAAGAAGGAGGATCCTGGGAACTACAGGCCAGTCAGCCTCACCTCAGTCCCCAGAAAAATCATGGAGCAGGTCCTCAAGGAATCAATTCTGAAGCACTTAGAGGAGAGGAAAGTGATCAGGAACAGTCAGCATGGATTCACCAAGGGAAGGTCATGCCTGACTAATCTAATCGCCTTCTATGAGGAGATAACTGGTTCTGTGGATGAAGGGAAAGCAGTGGACGTGTTGTTCCTTGACTTTAGCAAAGCTTTTGACACGGTCTCCCACAGTATTCTTGTCAGCAAGTTAAGGAAGTATGGGCTGGATGAATGCACTATAAGGTGGGTAGAAAGCTGGCTAGATTGTCGGGCTCAACGGGTAGTGATCAATGGCTCCATGTCTAGTTGGCAGCCGGTATCAAGTGGAGTGCCCCAAGGGTCGGTCCTGGGGCCGGTTTTGTTCAATATCTTCATAAATGATCTGGAGGATGGTGTGGATTGCACCCTCGGGAAGTTTGCGGATGACACTAAACTGGGAGGAGAGGTAGATACGCTGGAGGGTGGGGATAGGATACAGAGGGACCTAGACAAATTAGAGGATTGGGCCAAAAGAAATCTGATGAGGTTCAATAAGGATAAGTGCAGGGTCCTGCACTTTGGACGGAAGAATCCAATGCACAGCTACAGACTAGGGACCGAATGGCTAGGCAGCAGTTCTGCGGAAAAGGACCTAGGGGTGACAGTGGACGAGAAGCTGGATATGAGTCAGCAGTGTGCCCTTGTTGCCAAGAAGGCCAATGGCATTTTGGGATGTATAAGTAGGGGCACTGCCAGAAGACCGAGGAACGTGATCGTTCCCCTCTATTCGACATTGGTGAGGCCTCATCTGGAGTACTGTGTCCAGTTTTGGGCCCCACACTACAAGAAGGATGTGGAAAAACTGGATAGAGTCTAGCGGAGGGCAACAAAAATGATTAGGGGTCTGGAACACATGAGTTATGAGGAGAGGCTGAGGGAGCTGGGATTGTTTAGTCTGCGGAAGAGAAGAATGAGGGGGGATTTGATAGCTGCTTTCAACTACCTGAAAGGGGGTTCCAGAGAGGATGGCTCTAGACTGTTCTCAGTGGTAGCAGATGACAGAACAAGGAGTAATGGTCTCAAGTTGCAGTGGGGGAGGTTTAGGTTGGATATTAGGAAAAACTTTTTCACTAAGAGGGTGGTGAAACACTGGAATGCGTTACCTAGGGAGGTGGTAGAATCTCCTTCCTTAGAGGTTTTTAAGGTCAGGCTTGACAAAGCCCTGGCTGGGATGATTTAGTTGGGGATTGGTCCTGCTTTGAGCAGGGGGTTAGACTAGATGACCTCCTGAGGTCCCTTCCAACCCTGATAGTCCATGATTCTATGAACCTCCCTGTGCCTCAGTTTCCCTCTGGCACGGCCCCCTCGCAGGGCTACAAAACCCCCTTACTGCGTTGAACTTTGGGAGCACCTGCCTGGGGCCACCTGTGCCTGACACGGACACGACTGGGCCCCACTGGGGCCTGCCCAAGGCCTTTGGAAGCCCAAGGTCCCCGGGGCCCTGGCGTGCTGCCGGATCAGGGTGATGGGGTTGCCCGTGGCTCGGTGCCACCCAGAGCCCAGCCTGGCAGGATCATCGGGCTGCTCGATCGCTGTATCTGCCGGTCTCGTTCCAGCCCCTGCCCTCGGGCTCCCAGCCCTGCCCGCGTCCAGGGGGCCCTCATGCAGCTGGGAGCCAACGCTCCACGCAGGAGCCGCACAGCTCCGGCCCCGGCCCAGGCTGGGGCCGCGCTGCCTGCCTGTGGATCCAGTTTCCCAGCCCCTCCCGCCCCTCAGGCCCCGGCAGCGCCCCCCCCGAGCCGCGGGCACCTCCCAGCGTCCTTGGCTGCCCTGCCCGGCGGAATGGAGCGGCACCGACACCATGGGCCCAAGTTCCAGGGGGATGTAATTGCAGTTACACAGCAGAGCCGCCCGGCCGGGGAGGCAGGGGCCGTGGCACGGGAGGGAGCCGGGCTGGGCTGGGCGTGGCGTTGCGGCCCTGTGTTGCCCCGCGGCAGCCCCATATCTGCCCCAAGCAGGGGATTCGCAGCCCCGTCACCGTGAGCGGAGGGCTGAGCCAGTCCTTGGGGCAGCAGCAGGCAGAGACCACCCGGGGGTGCCACAGGGCTCAGGCCCTCCCCGGAGGCTGGTGACTATGGCAGTGGGGGGGGACGCCCCTCGCTGTGGGTCCATCGCCCTGGGGCTGCTCTGTCCCACGCCCCCAGCGTGGTGCCCGCAAAGGCCAGGGGGCCTGGCGCTGTCAGCTGGCACAGACGCTGCTGACGGAGGCCGTGGCGGGGCCCACCAGCCCCAGCTCCTCCAGCTCGTTGACGCAGAGCCGGTAGCCGCAGCCCTTGCGGCGGGGCAGGGGGCCCAGGTGCCCGGCGGCCTTGGGGCGCGGGGGCAGCAGGAAGCCCACGCTGCCGGCGATCAGCATGTGCCAGATGCTGTGGATGTAGAAGTAGTTCTCCTCCGTCTCCACGCAGGCGTAGAGCAGCACGGCGCCCGCCGCGATCAGCGCGCCCGGGCCCAGGTAGAAGGCCCAGCGCTGCCACGTGGGGGGGTAGCAGTGACGCCGGCGGATGCTGCGCGCCGTCTGGGGGGGCAAGAGACAGGGTGAGACACACAGGGCAGGGACCCCGGGGGGGGGCACAGGATGGATGGGGGAGGAGTGGGGGGGATGCGGCAAGGCAGGGACCCGGGGGTGGGGGGCACAGGATGGATGGGGGGAGGAGTGGGGGGGGATGCGGCAGGGCACGGACCCTGGGGGTGGGGGGGCACAGGATGGATGGGGGGAGGAGTGGGGGGGATGCGGCAGGGCACGGACCCCGGGGGGAGGCACAGGATGGATGGGGGAGGAGTGGGGGGATGCGGCAGGGCAGGGACCCCGGGGGTGGGGGGGGCACAGGATGGATGGGGGAGGAGTGGGGGGATGCGGCAAGGCAGGGACCCGGGGGGGGCACAGGATGGATGGGGGAGGAGTGGGGGGATGCGGCAGGGCAGGGACCCGGGGGGGGCACAGGATGGATGGGGGGAGGAGTGGGGGGATGCGGCAGGGCAGGGACCCCGGGGGTGGGGGGGGCACAGGATGGATGGGGGGAGGAGTGGGGGGGATGCGGCAGGGCAGGGACCCGGGGGGGGGCACAGGATGGAGCTGAGGGGGGCAGGGGACACAGGGGCTGGGGGACAGCAGCCCCTGTAGCTCCCACGTGCCCCCCCCGCTCCAGCTCAGGGGCCTCACCCAGGCGATAGCCATGATCCCCACGGCGAAGAGACTGGGCCCGAGGAGGTTCCAGAGCCCGTGGCGGTCCAGCTGCAGGGCCATGGAGAGCAGCATGGCGCCCAGCAGGTACAGCACCTGGCGCGGAGAGCAGGCAGGGTTAGCGAGGGGGGCCAGCGCCATATGATCCTCCCCACCCCAACGCAGGCTCTGGGGTGGGGCAGGGTGGGACTGAGGGCGAGCGGTCTGGGTCACGCAGCCCCGGCTGGCTGGGCTGGAATGGCAGAGTCCGGGCAGCCTGGCCCGCCAGTGCCCGCAGGGCAGAGCCCGAGGCTGCCGCGCACCGGCCAGGGTGCCAGCACCGGGGTCCTAGGGCTGCGGCTGGGGACAGAGGGATGAGGGGAAAATGGGGGGCTACGGAGAGCAGGGATGGGGGGGCCCGGTTCCCACCACCTGGCCCTGTGTCTGGGGTTCACCCCCCCCCCCGAGCTGAGCTAAGCCCCGTCTGACGCTGGCCTCCAGGGGCCAGTCCCTCCTGCGTCTCCCCAGGGCTCCCCAGGAGCGAACAACCAGCCAGCCGCGGGTGTCATGAGGGTGCCCTGGAGGAGGGCAGGGGTCCGGGGGGGGCAGGGGTCCGGGGGGGCAGCGTGCCCTGGAGGAGGGCAGGGGTCCGGGGGGGGCAGCGTGCCCTGGAGGAGGGCAGAGGTCCGGGAGGGGCAGCGTGCCCTGGAGGAGGGCAGGGGTCGGGGGGGGCAGCATGCCCTGGAGGAGGGCAGAGGTCCGGGGGGGGGCAGCGGTCCGGGGGGGGCAGCGTGCCCTGGAGGCAGAGCCGCGCCCTGTTCACCTGCTTGGCGAGGGGCTGGAGCCGCGCCATGGCGATGACGGTGACCCAGACGGACATAAGGGAGCCCAGGAAGTCGCAGAACTGCAGCACGTCGTACTCCATGATGCAGAACACGGCGATGCCCGGCTGGTCGCAGGCGTGATAGAACTGGAGAGAGATCGCGGCTCAGCCCCCCCGGCGGGCAGCCCCCATTGCCTCCCCCGGGCCAGACCCCTGCTCAGCCCCCGAGTGCACCACCTTCACCCCCGGCGCCCCTGCCCGGCTCTGCCTGCAGCAGGTCCCCGCGCCCACATCCGGCTCTGCCTGCAGCCCGTCCCCGCGCCCACGCCCGGCTCTGCCTGCAGCCCGTCCCCGCGCCCGGCTCTGCCTGCAGCCGGTCCCCGCGCCCACGCCCGGCTCTGCCTGCAGCCCGTCCCCACGCCCGGCTCTGCCTGCAGCCGGTCCCTGCGCCCACGCCCGGCTCTGCCTGCAGCCGGTCCCTGCGCCCACGTCCGGCTCTGCCTGCAGCCCGTCTCCATGCCCATGCCCGGCTCTGCCTGCAGCAGGTCCCCGCGCCCACATCCGGCTCTGCCTGCAGCCCGTCTCCACGCCCATGCCCGGCTCTGCCTGCAGCCCGTCCCCACGCCCGGCTCTGCCTGCAGCCCGTCCCCGCGCCCACACCCGGCTCTGCCTGCAGCCCGTCTCTGCGCCCACGCCCGGCTCTGCCTGCAGCCCATCCCCGCGCCCACGCCCGGCTCTGCCTGCAGCCGGTCCCCGCGCCCACGCCCGGCTCTGCCTGCAGCCGGTCCCCGCGCCCACGCCCGGCTCTGCCTGCAGCCGGTCCCCACGCCCGGCTCTGCCTGCAGCCCGTGCCCATGCCCACGCCCGGCTCTGCCTGCATCCGGTCCCCACGCCCACGCCCGGCTCTGCCTGCAGCCGGTCCCCGCGCCCACGCCCGGCTCTGCCTGCAGCCGGTCCCCGCGCCCACGCCCGGCTCTGCCTGCAGCCGGTCCCCGCGCCCACGCCCGGCTCTCCCCGCGCAGGGGAGCCGCGGCGGTGCTGCCCCGACTCACGGTGGAGAAGAACATGGTGAAGACGTAGACCGAGGCCTCGAGCAGGTAGCGGCTCCGCAGGGCGATGGCCACGGGCGGCAGGAACATCAGGTTGCTGAGGCACAGAAGCAGCGTGGCCAGGAGCTGGAAGCCGTAGGAGAAGGCCTCGGCGCTGTCCGTGCAGCCCCAGCCGTTCCAGCCTGCGGCGAGGGCCCGTCAGCCGGGCAGGGCTGCCAGTGCCCAGGGAGCCCGGGGCCGGCGGGGGGGACGGGGGGGCGTGCAGCGGGGCTGGGGACCAGGCCGAACGTGGCAGCCCTGGGGCTTAGAGAAAGGGGCTGCCAGGCTGGGGGGTCCTGGGACCACATGGGGGTAGCGGGGCCGGGTGTGACGGACGCTCCAGCCACACGGCTCAGTCTAGGGGGCAAGGAGGGGCCCCGTCCTGGGTTCCAGGAGATGGCCCGGAGCGGGCTTTGCCAGCCATAATGTGAGGGGGCAACGTGCTGCTGGGGGCCGATTCCAGACTCTGTGGAGCTCCCCTGGGAGGCTGCCCCCTCACCTGCCCCCCTCCTCCCTCACCTGCCCCACCCCCTCACCTGCCCTCACATGCCCCCTCCTCCCTCACCTGTCCCGCCCCCCTCACTCACCACCCCTCCTCCCTCACCTGTCCCGCCCCCTCACCCGCCCCCACTTCCCTCACCTGCCCCACCCCCTCACCTGCCCTCACCCGCCCCCCACCTCCCTCACCTGCCCCGCCCCCTCACCCACCCCCTCCTCCCTCACCCGCCCCCTCACCTGCTTTGCACTCGCAGGCCGCGTACAGATAGTTGTTGGTGCTCAGGAGCTTGCACTGGCCGTAGGGGCCGCAGTCCTCGATGCAGGGGGAGAGGTAGGTCCGTAAATACACCTCCGCTGTCACGTTAGCGCAGGGCTCGAACCTGCCAAACACAGCCTGGCGTCAGCGCGGGGAGGGGACAGGAGCCGTACCCGCGACAGAGCCTGCCACTCGCCCGCCCCCCGTGCCCGGCCCCACAACCTGCCGCGTGGCGGGCGCCGGTGCGGCTCCAGGCCCCACACTCATAGCCAGGGCCAGGCCTCGGGCGTCACGCCAGCACCCAGCACCGGCTGGAGGTGCCGAGCCAACGAGTCGCCCACCACCAGCCGGCAGGGCCCTGACCCCACGCTGACGCCGCCTGGCTCCGGCACTGACAGACAGACGGAGACATGGACCCAGGGACCTACACGCAGAGCTCTGGTCTTTCCTGGAAGGAAAGGATTTCTCCAGCCCTGTGTGACGTTATTAATATGAACTGGGACCGTATAGATCATTGTTGCAACCAAGGTCCTGCAGTGGCACCAAATCTTGTATAAAGGGGGTCAAATGAGGTGTCTCAGACGCGGTTATGCTTTGCTGGTTAGGATGATGCTGTCTATACGCGTGTATCTTTTTTGCATTTACAGATATAAGTATTAGCTCTACACTGTCTGTAGTTCAAACTTGTGCTGTGCTTCTGGGGGACACCTGTCACGGAGTGTGGGGGAGTCCGGGCCCTGCACCCCTCTTCCTGGGATTCACTGAGACTCTCAGCCAGCCAGTAAAACGGAAGGTTTATTGGACAACAGGAACACTGGAAAAAGGCTAATGTAGTGCCCATCTTTAAAAAAAGGAAGAAGGAGGATCCTGGGAACTACAGGCCAGTCAGCCTCACCTCAGTCCCTGGAAAAATCATGGAGCAGGTCCTCAAAGAATCAATCCTGAAGCACTTGCATGAGAGGAAAGTGATCAGGAACAGCCAGCATGGATTCACCAAGGGAAGGTCATGCCTGACTAATCTAATCGCCTTCTATGATGAGATTACTGGTTCTGTGGATGAAGGGAAAGCAGTGGATGTATTGTTTCTTGACTTTAGCAAAGCTTTTGACACGGTCTCCCACAGTATTCTTGTCAGCAAGTTAAGGAAGTATGGGCTGGATGAATGCACTATAAGGTGGGTAGAAAGTTGGCTAGATTGTCGGGCTCAATGGGGAGTGATCAATGGCTCCATGTCCAGTTGGCAGTCAGTATTAAGTGGAGTGCCCCAAGGGTCGGTCCTGGGGCTGGTTTTGTTCAATATCTTCATAAATGATCTGGAGGATGGTGTGGATTGCACTCTCAACAAATTTGCGGATGATACTAAACTGGGAGGAGTGGTAGATACGCTGGAGGAGAGGGATAGGATCCAGAAGGACCTAGACAAATTGGAGGATTGGGCCAAAAGAAATCTGATGAGGTTCAATAAGGATAAGTGCAGGGTCCTGCACTTAGGACGGAAGAACCCAATGCACAGCTACAGACTAGGGACCGAATGGCTCGGCAGCAGTTCTGCGGAAAAGGACCTAGGGGTGACAGTGGACGAGAAGCTGGATAGGAGTCAGCAGTGTGCCCTTGTTGCCAAGAAGGCCAATGGCATTTTGGGATGTATAAGTAGGGGCATAGCGAGCAGATCGAGGGACGTGATCGTTCCCCTCTATTCGACATTGGTGAGGCCTCATCTGGAGTACTGTGTCCAGTTTTGGGCCCCAGACGACAAGAAGGATGTGGATAAATTGGAGAGAGTCCAGCGAAGGGCAACAAAAATGATTAGGGGTCTGGAACACATGAGTTATGAGGAGAGGCTGAGGGAGCTGGGATTGTTTAGCCTGCAGAAGAGAAGAATGAGGGGGGATTTGATAGCTGCTTTCAACTACCTGAAAGGGGGTTCCAAAGAGGATGGCTCTAGACTGTTCTCAATGGTATCAGATGACAGAACGAGGAGTAATGGTCTCAAGCTGCAGTGGGGGAGGTTTAGATTGGATATTAGGAAAAACTTTTTCACTAAGAGGGTGGTGAAACACTGGAATGCGTTACCTAGGGAGGTGGTAGAATCTCCTTCCTTAGAGGTTTTTAAGGTCAGGCTTGACAAAGCCCTGGCTGGGATGATTTAACTGGGAATTGGTCCTGCTTCGAGCAGGGGGTTGGACTAGATGACCTTCTGGGGTCCCTTCCAACCCTGATATTCTGTGATTCTATGAACACAGCCCAAAACAGAGCTTGTGGGTACACCCAGGACCCCTTAGTCAAGTCCTTCTGGGGGGAGCAGGGAGCTTAGACCCCAGCCCTGGGGTTCCCTGTGTTCCTCCACGCAGCTCCAAACTGAAAACTAAACCCCCCCCAGCAGGTTCCCTGCTGCAGTCTCCATTCACATTCCCGGGCAGAGGTGTTACCTTCCCCTACCCCTCCCGGCTCAGGTGACAGGCTCTCAGGTCTCCCATCCCCAGGGCACATTCCCAGGTCAACACTCCCCCCCTCCCTGCTGCGTCACATCGTCACATCTCTCCCCCCTTCGAGACTGAACTGAGCGGGGTCACTGTGACCGGTGACCTGGGGAAGTTCAGGGCCCCCTCTCCGGGACAGCGCGTCCGCTATCAGGTTGGCACTTCCCTTCACGTGGACCACGTCCATGTCGTAATCCTGCAGGAGCAGGCTCCATCTCAGGAGCTTGGCGTTGGCTCCTTTCATCTGGTGCAGCCAGGTCAGGGGAGAGTGGTCGGTGTACACGGTGAAGTGTCGCCCGAAGAGATAGGGCCCTAGTTTCTTGAGGGCCCACACCATGGCCAGGCACTCCTTCTCGACGGCCGCGTAGTGTTGCTCCCGGGGTAGGAACTTCTTGCTTAGGTACACGATGGGGTGTCTCTCCCCCTTTTCATCCTCCTGCATTAACACTGCCCCCAGTCCCATGTCTGAGGCGTCGGTGAACACCACAAAGGGCTTGTCAAAGTCTGGGTTTGCCAGAACTGGGCCACTGACCAGAGCCTCCTTCAGCGCCCGGAAAGCCTCCTGGCACTGCTCGTCCAGACCACCTTGTCTGGCTTCCCCTTCTTGCATAGCTCCGTGATGGGGGTGGCTATGGCGCTAAAGTGGGGCACAAATCTTCAGTAGTATCCTGCCATCCCAATAAAGGCTTGGACCTGCTTTTTGGTGTGGGGAGCGGGCCAGTCTCTGATCACCTCCACCTTGGCTGGCTCTGGCTTTAGGCGGCCGCTCCCCACCCGCTCGCCCAGGTAAGATACTTGAGCCATCCCCACCTTGCACTTCTCCGCTTTTACAGTCAGCCCAGCCCCCTGGAGTCGGTCCAGCACTTGTCTAACCTGGGACACGTGGTCCTCCCAGGTCTGGCTAAAGACACAGATCTCATCAATATACGCCACGGCAAAACTCTCCATCCCCCTCAGGAGCTGGTCCACTAGGCGCTGGAAGGTGGCCGGCGCTCCCTTGAGGCCGAAAGGCAGGGTCAGAAACTCATAGAGCCCCAGAAGGGTGATAACGGCCGATTTCAGCCGTTTCTGCATCCAGCGGCACTTGCCAGTAGCCCTTTGTAAGGTCCATGGTGGTAAGGTACCGAGCTCCTCCCAGCTTGTCTAGGAGTTCGTCTGGCCTGGACATGGGGTAGGCATCAGATACAGTGATGGCATTGAGCTTCCGATAGTCCACACAGAACCGGACCGACCCGTCCTTTTTGGGGACCAGCACCACCGGCGAGGCTCAAGGGCTGGCGGATGGCTGGATCACCCCCAAAGCCAGCATGTCCCGGACCTCTCTTTCCAGGTCCTGAGCAGTTTTCCCTGTGACTCGGAAGGGGGAGCATCTTATCGGCGGGTGCGACCCTGTCTGCACCCGGTGGACAGTCAGATTAGTGCGTCCAGGCTGGTTGGAAAACAGCTGTCGGTATGGATGCAGCACCTCCCTGACCTCAGCTTGCTGGGCAGGGGTTAGCTGATCCGAGAGGGGAATTGTTTCCAGGGGGGAACCAGCTCTGGTCCCAGGGAATAGATCTACTAAAGGGTCATCTCCCTGCTCCTCCCACTGTCCACACACGGCCAAAACCACATTCCCCCCTGGCATAATATGGCTTCATCATATTCACATGGTACACCCGGCGGTGGTGCGCCCGGTTCGACAGCTCCACCACATAGTTTACCTCATTGAGCTGCTTGACGACCTTGAAAGGGCCCTCCCAGGCGGCCTGTAGTTTGTTCTTTCTCACTGGGATGAGAACCATCACCGGATCCCCCGTGGCGTAGGCACGGGCCCGCGCTGTGCGGTCATACCAGACCTTCTGCTTCTTCTGGGCTCTGGCCAGATTCTCCCTGGCCAGGCCCATGAGTTCAGCCAGTCTCTCTCGGAAGATCAGGACATACTCCACCACTGACTCTCCCATCGGGAGTGGCCTTCCCCTCCCATTCGTCTCTCATCAGGTCCAGGGGGCCCCTCACCCTCCTGCCATATAACAGTTCGACAGGCGAAAATCCGGTAGACTCCTGGGGCACCTCCCTGTACGCGAACAGCAGGTGAGGTAAGTACTTGTCCCAATCCTGCGGGTGCTGGTTCATAAAGGTTTTCAGCATCATCTTTAGCGTCCCGTTACATCTCTCCACCAGCCCATTGGACTGGGGGTGATAAGCTGAGGCCCAGTCGTGCCGGACCCCACATTTCTCCCACAAGCACCGGAGCAGGGCCAACATGAAGTTGGAGCCTTGGTCTGTCAAGACTTCCTTGGGGAACCCCACTCGGCTGAAAATGGTCAGGAGCGCATCGGCCATGGTGTCGGCTTCAAAGGAAGCTAAGGGCACTGCCTCGGGGTAGCGGGTGGTGAAATCTACCACCACCAGAATGTATTTCTTCCCTGACCGGGTCGTCTTGCTGAGAGGCCCCACGATGTCCATGGCCACCTTCTGGAAAGGCTCCTCTATGATGGGCAAAGGTCTCAAAGGCGCTTTCCCCTTGTCCCGGGCCTTCCCCACCCTCTGACAGGGGTCACAGGATCGGCAATACTGCCGGACCGTGGTAAAGACCCCCGGGCCAGTAAAAGTTCTGTAGCAACCTCTGCCGGGTGCGCCGGATTCCCTGGTGCCCTGCGAGGGGATGTCATGGGCCAGGTA